TCGCAGCAGGCAACGGATGCAGGGAAGCAGGTGTGTTGCTGTGGGCCAGGCCAAGGCAGGCCCCGGGACCTCACCTCCTGGTCACAGGAAAGACCAGAGATAACGACCTCACGTGACACTTGGCAGCTTCAGCGTGTTGGGTCCGCTGCAGGTGGGAGGCGAGCCTCCTAGGAACGTATCCTGACCGACCTTTCTTACACTGGGGGCACCTGCCTTTTCTTTGATGTGAACACTCTACTCATATCCTTTGCTCACACAAATTCTGTCTCCACCCTGGAAACCAGTCCATGTTATTTATGTGGCAAATATTTTCTCCCCATCTGGACTCTTGTAATCATTTAGTGTTTTATAGTTTGGCAGTTTTGTGTTTTAAATGCACCTTGAATTTGTGTTCGTGACTGAGATCAGAAAGACAGTCACCTCGTCTTTGTTCGAGCGAGGGCCTCAACGCCACGTGCTGCGCGGCCCAGCTTTGCCAGATGACCCCCGCTCGCCTCTCTGGGACGCTGCCTGGATCCACCGGGTCTGAACAGGAACGCTGTGCAGAACGGGCCAGTGGGCCCCTCCACTGCACACCCCCGGGTCCCACCTCACAGGAAGCCAAGCAGCTCACAGGAGGGCCTTGTCACACCTGTTAGCCCTCCTCCATCCTGATAACCACGACCACTGCAAGCCTCAGTGGGTCCTGCCTTCCCAGGATGCTGCCCTGTGGCCTCGGAGCTGCTGGGGCTGGCGAGCCTCGTGGCGCAGCGTGCGGGAGGCTACAGGACAGGCTGCCTTGGGCTGGGGCTTGATTCTCTCCCCTGTAACTAGCGCAGGCCCCATTACAGAGAAATTGCCTGAAATGTGTGTGATCGGGCAGAGCCAGGGGAAGACGCCTGTGTGCTGGCATCTCTACGCCGGGGGCTTTGTTAGGGGCAGCTTTGGAAGCGTCAGAGAGGCTGATGGGACACATGGGAGATGACATGGCAGGCTCCTTGGTGGCTTGAGACGTCCTCTGGGGTCATTGGGCGGCTTTCAGGGAGGGAAGGGGGTCGCAGCCAGCACTCGGGGCCGTCTGTGTCCCCCCTCAGCCCTGAAAGCCAACAAACCCCAGCCAGCTGCCATTGAGAAGCATGTCCACAGGCTCGGGGGCTTCTCTCTCACAGACGGCGAGGCCCTTCTCCCGAGGTTACTCTGCGTGGATTTCCGCTACTGACTTTTCAGTTAGAGGCTCAGTGCTTAACCCCTTGTGGCACCCCAGGACTCCCACCATTCCTCGCTTTGGATCACATGGCACAGAGTGCAGCTGGGGCCCAGCACATGGGAAGGCCCAGTCACAGGGTGTCCTCTGTCCTTGTCTGTCGTCTGAGGGTGGGATTCTGAGGAGCGGTGAGTCAGCCATCACAGGGCACTGGGATACCGGTGGACCATCCACAAGGTCCCCAACAGAACACAGAAATCAAACCATTCCAACTCACAACCACGTAGTCGACTGTGCCCACAGGATCTCCTGACCTTTTGGTAGCAGATGGCCAGGGCTTCAAAGTCACCTCTGCGTGGACTTGACCCTTCAGCCTTTCAGGCAGTAGCCGAGCGCTTAGCCCTTTGTGCCACCTGGGGATGAGGCCCCAAATAAATAAACAGAAGGAAACGTTTAAGGGCCTGTAGAGAGACAATTAAGTAGCACAGCTCTGGGTACCGGATGCTTTAAGCCCTAGCCTTCCGTGGAAACGGAACGAGTGCAGGCCTCAGTGTGCTGGGCACTGTTTTCAGAAGACAGCTTCCAGTTAATGTCCACAAGCATGTTACTGAAGGTAACCATTCCTCTTAATGATAAAAAGCACTCATGTTAATTGTGCTGCAAAACTGTAGCCTCAGACCACAAAAGATGACAGAGGGGACCCAGAGCAGAGCTGCTGTGCCACCGAAAAGCCCAATCATTTTGTTCAGTTTTTATTTATATTCTAATGGCTGAGTTGAGTAATCAGGGAATCAAACATGGTCCATTTAAAATTTTCATTATTTCAAATAGGCTGAACCATCGCAAATCACTTACGGGTCAGCGGTGAACTCGTTACCGGGTAAGACAGCAATCAAACTCTGCCTTGCTCTGTATTTTGTTTCCATGGCGGTTCCAACTGGAACATGCAGTGAGGACAGACCGGGCGCCAGGCCGGGCTCCAGGCAGTGCTGGGTCCACGGGGCCAGCCCCCGGCCCAGCACCTGGGCGCAGCCCGCAGGCAGCTAAAGCCAGGCCCCTGGAATGCAGCTGACCTGGCTTGCATTCCAGCTCTGCCGCTTCTTGGCTGTGCTGCTTCGGGCAAGTTGCTAAGCCTCTCTGAATCTGGGCCTCTTCATCCTTAAAGCAGGCATGATACCAGATTTACAACTGTTGTGAAACACAGCAATCCGTGTGGGGATGCCTGTCAGGCGTGTAGCCCAGCCAGGTACCCGTGGACGCTTGGTGGCCACAGCCACGTTTATGGCCTGCCGCCCAGGAGCGCATGCCCGTGTTAGCGGGGAGCAGTGCTCAGCAAAGATGGGGAGGCAGGGATCGGTGCTAAGGGGGGGCGCCACCTAGTGGCTCAGAGATGTTTTGCTGGGTCCAGGAGAGAGGGTGTTTGCAAGGTGGAGCTGACTATCTCCCTGAAGGAATGGTGCCTTTGAAGCTGTTTGTTGTATAGTAACAAGCGCATCTTCTCTGTTCTTAAGAAACACTGAAATGATCGTAAGGCAGCAGGTGGCGTGGCAGAGTCTGTGTCTATCATCTTGCACCATGAAGTCGATTCCTGCTCATGGCGCCCCATCTGTTACCGAGCAGGACTGCCCCAGAGGGTTTCCTTGGGTCTCTATGGGGACAAATGGCCAGCCCTTTCTTCCGCAGTAACACCGGGTGGGTTCCAACCACCACCCTTTTGATGACCAGCCATTGTCCCCTGGGGCTCAGCTGAGGAAGGTGTCCCCCAAACATGCTGGGAGTGGGGGAAGGTACGGATCACGTAAGGAGAGGACAGGCCAACAATGCCGCCCCTGCATCAGGCTCCTGGAGCTCTGAGGAGGAGGGACCGGGGCAGGACTCCTTGGAGAGCAACACAATGACATGTTTCCTACTTGGGTCAAAATACCACCACCAGTAGATTTGGTTGCTGTGCAATGCACCGCAGCCCTTCTTAACCACGGCAATGACGGAACCAGTCTGAAGCCCTGGGGGTGACCCCAGGGAGCCACTCCCTCTCCCCTTGCACTGTGCCCTCCAGGCTCACTCGAGCCAGCTTTCGTCATCTCCCGATGCTGCTGTAACAGAAATAGCACAAGGGGGTGCCTTCCGAGAGCAGGGGCTCTCAGAGTTCTGGCGGCTCGAGCCCCGTCAGCGTCTCAGCCCCGTGGGTCACTTGGTTCTGTGGTTCCCTGGCCTGGAGGCAGTCCTCCCCGCCTCTGCATCCTGTCTGCTGTTTGTTTGGGCGACTCAGAAGGGAGGGGTTTAGGACCCAGGCCACACAGGTATGGCCTCATTAACGTAACAAAGCCATTTCCAAACAGGGTCCTTGGCATGTATAGGGGTGAGGATCCCAACACACGTTCTGGGTGACAAAATTTAATCCTTGACGACGTCTGTGCCCCTGAACAATCCCGTGTGTAGCCGCATACGGTCATGGTGGTAGATGTGCCGAGTTCCAGCCGTGCTCCTTGGCCTGCCCTGGGGTTGGGGTGAAGACAGGGTGGAACTCAGATTGTGGACTTGGTTTCCACCTTTTATCGTGACTTGGGTGAACGTTTGCAGAACAAGGTGGTTTTCCTTCAACGACTAGGCAGTTTGTTCTGCAACACAGACGACAGTCCCCCGTGGAACAGCGCTCCTCCCCCCTCTCCCCGTGTGTCCTGTCTCCATCCCTCCCTGTCTCCCTTCCTGCCCCTCGGACCCCGTATGGCTGGTGGCTCTAAGGGGTGTGCAGCTCCCTGTCCTTGGTGGCAGGTCAGTCGCATCCCAGTGGCTCAGGCTCTCTCACCTGGCCCTACCTGTCCTGCCTCTCCAAACTCATTTACTGTCAGTTCCGACCACAACCTTCGCGTTCCCGTATATCGCTCATTCAGCAAACAGCTATCAGCTGCTGTGCGCGTGCTGAGCCCACACCTGTCACCGTGTTGTAATGGGGGGGGGGACTGTGTGTTGTTGCTGTGCTGCTAGAAGCCGTGTCACCAGCACTTCCCATAGCAGCGGCGCCACCCGTGGTGGCAAGTCTCAGCAGAGCTTCCAGGCTCAGACCAGGGAGAAAGGCCTGGCGGTCTCCTTCCAAACTCAGCCTGTGCGGCCCCTGTGGGTCACAAAAGAAGACTGTCCGGCGGGGGGGGGCCTGGTGAGTGAGGGGGTGGAGGAGCCCCAGGTGAGCTGGACGCCCAGCAGCTGACAACATCCTGCGGGCGGCCACGAGGGGACACAGGCCGGGCAGTGCATGTGCCGTCCCCGTGGACTCGGCCGCCGCAGCACACTAAGCACTGGATGCTGAGCCGAAGCCGTGAGCAAACCCCTCGCCCTCAGGGGACTTCTGCTCTTGGGTAAACTTCCCCTGTAGGAATACTTCCCCTGTAGGACTTGGGGTCTCTGCTCCTGACCGGTCTCTCCCGGGCCACATCCTGCCCATTCCTCTGCTCAGAGAAGACGCTCCGTCAGCAGTCGTGACTCACCCTCCGGCTGCCCGTATCTCACCTGTACCGGCCCCAGCCTGGCTGTCCCAGGCGGCTGAGGAAACAAACTGGGCTCTGCGTCAGGAGCAGCTGTGAACCCTGCCCTACGGCTACCGGAGTCCTCTCCTTTACAGGGGACAGAGGGGCCTGTGTGCAGTGCAGGCACAGAATCTGCCCAGAGCTGGGGTCAGCCAGGCCTTTCTGAGAGAATAACCAGAAACCTGCTGTTGGAGTCGCACTCCGGCGAACTCCCAGGAGGCCTTTCAGGAGCTGAGTTAATTTCACGTACTGGGTGTGGATGTGGCCTGAAGTCACTGGGACTTGCTTTGTTCCAGGTACTCTGTCTACAAGGACCCAGCAGGCTGGCTGAACATCAACCCCATCAATGGGACTGTGGACACCGTGGCCGTGTTGGACCGCGAGTCCCCGTTCGTCCACAACAGCGTGTACACTGCGCTCTTCCTGGCCACTGACAGCGGTGAGTAATTACAAAAACCACTGAGAGTATACTTTTCGGTTGCACATGTATTGGTAAATTTTCATGTCTCCTGATAGAACTAGTAGTGTTCTCAGAAAGGTATAAACACGTGGGGCAGGTGGAACACACATTAAAATGCACAGTTATTGGTCACGTCCACTAGTCTTGGGAAGCCCAGTCGGGTCAGAGCCATTGAGGGTACCGAGCTCCGTCTCAGGAAGGTTCTAAGGGCTGGGCTGATGTCCTGCACCTCCCCTGCAGTCATGTTCTCACCTGCAAAACAAGTTTCTTAGACTTAATGCCCGTGGAGAAACGGTCCAAAGGATGTCCCTGATAGTCATAGTGGACAGGGAGGAGACAAAGGGGGGTCAGAAGAGACAGGGAGGGAGAGGAGTGGACAGAGGGCAAGGAATGAACAAAGGGGAGAGAGGAAGAGAGGACAGAGGTCAGATCAAGTTTCACAAACGGGACGAGTCCTCAGCGGAACAGGCAGCCAGCAGAGCCGCAGGTTCGAGGAGGTGACAGGATGAAAGCAGAATGCGGCCAGGCACCATGCTGAGTCCTGGAAACTCACAGGTGGATGAACATGGGACTGGTTTGTTTAGCTTAGGAAACAGTGGGGCTTGGATTAATGCAAATACCAGGGAGGGAAGAATCACTGTGGGAAGAATGAGGGGCCTTTCTCGGTTTGGCCAGGAAGAGGGGAAGACAGGGAAGCATCCAAGAGGAGAAGGCCCTCCTTTGCCTTCAAAAGTGCAGTTCCCAGCCACACGGAACTGGGGCCCACAAAACAGAATGCAGCCGACTTGAGATGCATGCTTGGCTTTCCCCCGTGGGGCATCTGCCTTCTCAAGGGTAGAGAGGCACATCAAGCCCCACAGAAACACAGAAACCTAAGGCCGAGCAGAAGAAGCCATCCTGCCCCAAGCAACACTCTCCCGCTGAAGACACTGCCAGACTGTGATAGTAGGAGGGCGGGGTACGAGAAGGCTGGAGACCTGCGCTGGGAACTTCAAAGGCCAGAGCTGGACCTCCTGGAGCCTTTAGGGGTAGAGACACTCTAGGGTCTCCATAAAAATCCTAGCAACAAGGGTAACCCAGAAACTGGCTGAGTCCAGCTCTATGTGCAGCACAGCCAGACCCACCTCCGTGTCCGACTGAACTGATGAGGCGAGTCCTATCCTTTCCGGCTCCTATGAGAGGAGACGATTTTGTAGCAGAACCTAACACCTGGAGTCTGTGATCCTGCTGTACATAGACCCAGTTTACGATAAAAAGAAAACTAGTCCTTCAAAGAGGAGAGAGTTTATAACTGATAATCAAGAGAAAAGTCACACCTGCAGAAGATCAAACCTTAAAAGCAGCAAAGACTTGAAGATGACTGTAATTAGTAGGTTCAAGAAAACAGGCGTGGAGAATTTCACCCGAGAACTACAACAGTCAAAGTGAAGAACAAAGAATTAAAAAAGAGAAAAAAGCAGGCGAGAGGCACGCAGAACGCACACAGTGAGTCTGAACCACAAACGCGCTGCCACGGAGTCAGTTCCGGCAGCAACCCCCACTGGGTTTCTCAAGTCGTCAGTCTCTACAGGAGCAGAGTGCCTCATCGCTCCTCCACGGAGCAGCTGGTGGGTTCGAACCACTCACCTTTCGGTTAGCAGCCAAATGCCTTAACCACTACACCACCGGAGCTTCTTTATAGTACAACTTGAAATTAGAGTCCCAGAGTGGAATAGTAAGTCTGAAAAAAGTCTGTGAAAACATAATGGCCAGGATTTTCCCAAACAGATGAAGGGCGTACACACAGATTCAAGCAGCTTAGCAAGCCAAATAAAGCTGAAGAAAACACACCTCAAACATCACAGTCTAACTGATTTAAAAAAAATAAAAAGGGGGAAAGAAAAATCTTAAAAGCAGCCTGAGGGAAAAAGACAAGGTTATCTACAAAGGAGTAACAATATGACTGATGGCTGACTTGTGACTACAAATGATGGAGGCAGAAGACAATGGACTAATGCACTTCAAAGATAGCAACCAACTTAGAACTCTAGAATCCTGAAAAGTTTCCTTCAAAAATGAAGTTGCATTTAACACTTTTTCAGGGAAACCAAAAATAGTGAACTGTGTTACCAGTAGGCGAGCACTTTAGAGTATTTGAGGCAGAGGGACACTGACCTCATGTTGTTGTTATTTGCCGTCGAGTCGGCCCCGACTCATAGCGACCCCTCCTTGGGTTTCCGAGGCAGTTGTCACTACGGAAGTAGGATTGCCCAACCTTCCTTCCCAGGAGTGGCTGGTGGGTTTGAACCGCCAGCCTCCTGGTTAGCAGTCAAGTGCCTTAGGCACTATGCTACCAGACGGTTAGAAATAGAAATGTGAAACCTGTAAATGAAAATGGAAGGGGCAAAGATGAGGGTAAACCAAAATACTAATCACCTGAAGAGTTAAAAATAATTACAGAATTAAAATGCATGACAATAACACAAAAGGTGGGGAACTGTCAAAATGCAATCGCAGCAGTACTGGAGCCGTGGTGCGAGCACTGCTTTGTAGTGCACTGTCGTTAAGTCGAACGTCTATTACAATCCCAGGGTAAGCACGAGAGGAAGACAGAACAAACAAGCTAAGGGAAAGACAAGTACTTCATCAAACCAGAGCCACACAGCAAGACGGTAAACTCAAACTAGATGTAAAGTGTTGCTATAGACTGAATTATGTCCCCAAAGCAATACCACAACCGAGCAGATTCCCACTGAAAGCAACACCTGCTTGGATTTCCGAGGCGGTATCACTAAGTAGATTGCCTGCCCAACCTTCCTTCTGAGGAGTGGCTGGTGGATTTGAACCGGTGGCCTTTTGGTTAGCAGTCAAGTGCCTTAGGCACTATGCTATGCTACCTGAGCTCCCCGCAAAACAATACATGCTTTAAATCCTAACCCCTGTCCCTGTGGATGGGATCCAGTTGGGACTAGGGTTTCTGTCGTCATGCTAGGGAGGCAGTACCAGTGCACGGTGGCTCTTAAGTCCAGTCGCGTTTGAGCCATAAAAGAGCCGATGCAGCACAGAAACAAGCAGGGACGGGAGACAGCGAAGCCGTGCCTGTGAAGACAGCCAAGGAGCCAGGGCACAGAGGCGGGACATGGACCTTCGCCTGCGGCCGGCACCCTCAATTCAGACTTTCAGCCTCCTAAACCGTGCAAGGGAAAAATTCCATTTGTTAAAGCGACCCACTTGTGGTGTTTCTGTTATAGTGTCTGTCATAGCAGTGCTACATGTTAAAGAAAAAACTGTATCCTGCTTACAACAGATACACTTTAAACACAAGGACAAAGAAAGGAGGAAAATAAAAACCTGTCAATCACACTAATCAACAGAAACCGGGCGCCAAGCCATGGCCAGCCACATGCTGCACAGCAGTCCACAGGGTTTCTGGGGCCCCAGGTCTTTCCTCTGAGGTGCAGAGGGGGGCTCGATCCACCCACCTTTCAGTGACTAGTCAAGCCCAAACCCTCGGTGGCCCCCCAGGCCTGCTGCATGTGCACAGCCTCCTCCTGCCTGTCCACTCGCAGAGGCCTTGCCTCGTTCCTGCCTCCCGGGCCTGCCGCCTGTCCTTCCAGGCCACGCTGCGTCCTCACCTGTCTGGTTTGTGAGTGAGCACTCAGTCCACACGGACTGGGCTGGAGGAGTCTTAGCTGTCAGGGTGCTTTTGGTCCAGAAGTATCACTACAAGATACAGGGACCGGTCTGAAGTGGTATCAGTCTGCAAGTGCCCCAAAGCACAGGTTTGAAACACACAGAGGCGAGAAACTGAAGAGAGATCTTTGTGGGAGACTGGAAGGCATCTCCCTCATCAGCTGCCACAACAGGCAACAAAGAAAGGAGCAAAGGTGTAGAAATTTCAGCAGCGTGACAAACCTGCGGACAGACGCACATTTGTGACATCACAGTACCAAACTCACATTCAAGTACAGACAGAGTATTTTTACCAGTCACTGACACACAGAGAGGTGCAGAAGGTCCGAGAAGTGCCATGGCGATCCTGCAGACGACTCTGGACAGCACGCCCGCATCAATAGGACCCACAAGGCCCCCGGTTACGACTAGACCACCACTGTGGGGGAAAACGTGGTCCATGCAATCAACAGTGCTGCTCGGTCCGATAAGTGCATGCTGACCCCTCTCTTATGCCATGAGCAATAATTCATCGTAACGTAAATAATAAATCTTTCAGAGAAAAATATATGAAAACACATTAATGCCCCTAGCATGGGCAAAGCTGTCTTCAACAAGACACACAGAACTCCTCCCAGGAGGAGGAACATGGTAAGATGACATTAGAATTAAGAACTTAGTTCCTGCGGTGACATCTCAGAGGGGAAGATACATCTGCAACAACCACAAATGTAGCAAATCTGTAAGCAGAGGACACAACTCAAAGAAAAACAGGTAAGAGACTGGGACAGTCGCATGAAAAGGTGTTCAACTCATGAGTCCACAACATGTAACTACAGTGCCACACACCACCCACAGAATGACCGAAGCGCCAAGAGAAAACCAGTGCTGGCCAAGCTGGGAAGGGAGTGGCACTCTCACCACCAGGGCACAAGTGTCAACTGTACCACGGCAATGGAGGCTGAGAAGATCCACTAAAGCCCAACCACGCCTGCCCCGTGGGGAGAGAACGCCACCCCAACAAGCCTTGCTGTGCTCTCCTGTTCAGCAAAACACACGGGCAGTGTGTCTGTGCCAGCAGTGCTCCTGAGAGCCCCCACTGGGAGCCACCCAGCCAATGAATAACCCAATCGCAGCATGTTCACACCCTGAAGTCGGAACGCAAGTAGAAATAAAAGACTGACAACTGTTCACATGAACATGGATGGACCTCACAAGTGAGTACAAGACTGCTAAAAACCAGCCACATCCTGAATGATCCCGTGACATAAGCCTCAGAAAGTCAGAACTCACTGTTGCTGTTCACGTGAGCCTGGAGACTCAGCTGG